AATGGAGTGTCAGAATCCACAAAAATTCCCCTTTTTCTGTTTTCTTATGTTATATACAGTTGACTTAATGCCATACTCCTTGCATAATTTTGAGAAAGCTACACCTTTATCCAATTTTTGCAGCAATTACAATTTTGTTTAATGAACATCGAAATGTGCTTTCGCTTCGTAGATCCTGTAGCAGCTCCAAAATTAGAAATTCTTTTCGACATAATCGAAAGTTCAAACTTTAATTTTCAATAAAATTGTTGTAATAATAACACCCTGCAAAAAATAATAAGCTGGATCAAATCAGAAAATTAAGGAACAGTGCAATCTGCTATATTAACTGAAATTCCTTGGAATCAGTAAAGTTTAAATTTACTGATTCCAAGGTAAAGTTTAGCTTCAGTAAAGTTTAACTTTACTGATTACTCATGCCTAGCTTAAGAGCATCTACTATACATTATTGGCTATGCCTCATGAGATTAGTGATGAAAGACAAGTTGTTCAGCTAAATTTTGCCTTGCTTCTATTGTGCACCGAGACAACTAAGCTTGTATTATTTAAGTTATTTATCATACTTACTATTTCTTGCACATACTTAAAGTTTATATGAGTCCTGAGTAAATAAATTCCCACATATACTTAAGGCTTATCAAGGGCCGGTGCTAGCTATCTTACCACCTGATGCAGTTTCTAAATTCTGCTACCAAGCACCTCCCTAATTTCTAAATTTTGGTTCCCAGTGCTTTCTTTTCATAAATTCTTAAAATTTTGTCATCACTTAATTTTGTTGCTTAGTGTTTTGTAAATTCTGCCACCCAGTGCAGCCATAAGAGCTCTGGTGCCGGCTCTATGTTTATGTGCATTACAAATCAGTTATTTTTAATTCAAATAGCACTAAATGCAATATTTTATCCTATGGGTATCATTAATAAAATCTATTTTTAGCATATGGAAAGATTTTTGTTAAGTTTTTTATCAACATTTCTTAGTGTATTTAATTTAAATCTGTAATCATCGCTAACTGTAATGTCAACATAAAAGGTTACAATGCTTTTTGTTACTTAGTTACTATTATAAAAGAAACTGTTCAGACACTGCAGCATGAGACATTACTCAAGTTGTTATGTGTTGATAACCATGCAGTGTTTACATTATGCCAAAGGGGCATTTCTTGAACATTTTGTGTGGTACCTTTATTTATTAAATATCATGTTCTTTGCACTTGAACCATAAAATTAATTCAATAGCAATATTGCAAAATAATTTTTGAATGAGCAAAGCTTTAGAATTTCCGATACACAGTCTTGCGCACTGGAGATAAAAATGTTTCCCCACACACACTTTTCTGTACAGTTTTGACAAACAAAATTAAATGCAAATATTAACTGAACAAACTTTTTTTTTAATCTTCATAAAATGTTCCACAAATATTTGCAAGAAATTAAAAATTCAGATCAAATAAAATTGAATAAGAAAAACTATGCTTAATACCACTAGGAATGGGCCAATGGAATTTGCACAAGTTAATAAATTTCATTTATTGTGGAGAAACATTTTCCTTAGTAAAGGCTAAAGATTAAAAATCATGAATATGGGGGGAATACACAGGGAGATGCAAAGAAAAACTGGACAAGACAGCAGCTTGCATTATGTACTGCATAAAACACAAATAAATTAAAAAGAATGTTAGAATGCTACATATAAAATGCATTTGTGAGAATTATAAAACTGCATTTACCATGAATTAATAATACAGCTCCAGTTTCTTCATTGCAGGCCATTTGATAGATGCAATCAATTCCTTCCATTCTATATCTCAAAGAACACGTAAACTTGTTAATGACTTTTAGGACAAACAAACCTTCTGCTGCACCCATCAAAATTATCTAAATTAAAGATATAATAGAAATATCAATTAAAGAAAAAGATTCAGATGTATAAAAATTAATTACTTAAAAAAAGATTAGAAGATTAGACAAGACTTACATTTTCATCAAAAATGACTGTACAGTTAGGTTCAATCAACTTATCTCCTTTCAAGGTCCAAATGGGTTTCCCAACAAGTTTCTAAAAAGTAACAAAGAATAAATTTTATTACTTTAATAAAAAATAGGTCTGTATAGCACAGCAAAACGTCTATGCAGAGGACTAAAAGTCCACACTGCTTTGGATGAGGTAGTATGGGTTTTTTTAGAGTTTTACAGATCAATAGAGGTGGCCAAATAGCTCTGGTGACCCAATGTCCCATATGAGTGTTGAACCAGTTACCTGCGGACACAGACAGCCATTGTTAGTGAGCTTGCCAAAGAGATTTGAGAAGAGATAGAGGGGCTGATGGCCGGTATCTTCTGTAGGCTGGGCAATGAGAGAACAAGGCCATAAACCCAGTGCAGTGGGACTATACTATACAACCAATGGTAAATTTCTGGTGTTCTGTTCACTTCTACCTGTATTTATTAAACTGCTGCCCAGACAGGATAGTGATGGTGATTGCCATACTGAAAGGGGCAGATTCGAATCCTGATGGCATGGAAGTTAGTAAGCGGCAAGAGCAAACTCAAACTCAAAATACATGGCGAGACAAAAATCATCTCAACGGGTTGGTGGTAGGGGAAGAAGTGTGAGAGACTCTCCCAAAATCCATGGACACTCCCTTGGAATTCCATCTAGAGTGGAAGCTTAGCAGTTAGCAAAGCCCAGCAGTAACTAATATGCCTACTTGGATGTACAGGTGTCAGCCTTTCTTCAACTAGTACCTACACTCGTTAAATTAGTTTGGACAAGTTAGTGATTTGAAAAATATTTTTAGAACTTGAGTAATATGCTGAGTAACACTTGATGTATTTAAGCGCTATTGTGCTGAACAACTACTAGGCTGAAAACTGTTTTTTCTCATTTTTGTCATATTTTGTCAGTTAGAAAGGTATAAAGTTTATGTTTAAATTTGTTTTCTATCTTTTTAATGGCATCAACAGCAAGGATAAATGTGTGATCACTTGTGCATGATGGTAATGATTTGACAATTTCTACATAATATACAGTATTATCTGTTATAAAACTGATATGTAGAACATTGGTTGACTGTGGATATTAGATTAGATACCGTTTGATTTAACATCACTGCATTTCTATTTGTTCTTAACACATTTATCACTGTTTCTATTTGTTTGTTGGGCGCTTCACGTTGGTGCATTATGGCGGGAGCGGGCGATTTTTTGAAAAATCCTCGCAAATTTTGTTGTTAGGTAAAATCCCTATAAATTGAAAACTACTTTTAATTTTTTATGAAACTGATTTTCTCAACTTTCTCAACTTCATCGTTATTATGAAAGATAAGCACTTTTTGTATAAATGAATATAGATGGTTATTTAATTACGGCAAAGCCTTGAGGGCTATCTGCCTAAGGGAATGGATGCATTCGTGGAGGACTTTCTAAGGGAAACTGGCTCGTATACACGTTACACATGGGGAAAACCACGAAAACACCCATGCAACCGTTCGCGGGATTCGAACCTCGGACAGAACTACCAGTGTTCAGCAACTTTACCGCTCGGCCGCTGGTGGGCCTAAATGAATATAGAATATACAGTTGAAAGTACAAAAAAAGAAAAAATTTATAATTTTCGTCAATATTATTTATTATTGAAATTTTTCAATAAACAAATAACTTAAGTAAATAATGAACACTAATAATGTTTTATAGTGTGATAGCTCTCAAAACATTTACCTCTATGAAAAGGTACACTGCAAAATTTACACATAAAACAAGTTTCACTTCGCACTTTTGAGATGCACACACTCGACATTTTCTTTTCTTTCTGGTTCCAACAATTTTTTCTAGAACATGTTTTTTCATATCCATTGTACAATCTTCCTGGTGGATCTTGTTTAGGCATCCTTTTCCTGAAAGTGAATGGTGCTGGCTCTTGATTGTTATCTTCGGTTCGTACTGAATCAGTAACCCAATGCAAAGCTATTTCATATAAAAATTTCTTATAGTTTACATTGTTGCTTTGTGTTGAATTAATAGACAACAAAGGTATTGAACAATGCACAATTTATCATGTACATTGTTACTTGTTTTGTCCATTTCATCGTCTTTCGTAGTATTGAATAGTAAGACAAATACTGATCTGATTGGTCAACACCTTTCATAAAGTTTTTATAATCAATCAATGCATTTGGTTTAGTTATTTTTTGGCATTTTGTTCTGTCAATATGACTCTCTTTCATTTCCGCCGAATATATAGACAAAAATAAGGCCCACTTCTTTCTTTGATAGCCAGATTTGAAGTAAAATATCCCCTTTACGGCGAAAGATTGTCTGTCCTTTTCTGAGATTTGTCTTTTTTAGACACTCAGGTAAAACTTTATTTTTTCTGATGGTTCCCCATACCCTACTTTCTTTCGAAAACGGGATTGAGTGTTATCAACACTATTATAATAATTATCCATATACAGATGGTGCCAGACATCTGTATATGGAGATAAAACTGTCTGTACTGTCTCTGTCAGCCGTGATCCCCTGAACAGAATAAATTTCAAAATTACAGATGTATCCTGTATCGCTCTCACATAACATTCTCACGAGTATGCCATATTTTATGAGTTTTCTCCGCATTATAAACTCTGAAAAATAACAGTCTTCTCCAAGGCATAATGACTTCATCCAAGGATACTCACTGTTTAGGTTTGTATATGTTCACAAATTTCGGAAGAAAATAATCAATTATGGGCCTGACTTTGGTCAATCGGTCTGATTCATTGTTGATATTCTCGTTATTGTTGTAATGCCAAGCCTTCCATATTTGCCGAATCTATCTCTAGACATTGTTTTTGACAAAGAATGGCATTTCTGTGCAAGGATCTGTGGTCCAGTACTTGTCTCTTCTATATTTTCAAACTTGCTCCATGAAAATAATCAGTCCCAAAAATTTCTTCATTTCCGATATCGTGATATCCTTCCATTTCACACTTTTTTAATTATTTTGAAATTATTTTATATTTTGGTAATATACCTATTTGATTCTTCTACAAAATATGTGAACAAGTCATCTCCAATAAACAAGTTAAACGCATCAGTTGTAGATTCGGGAACAGTATCAACATTTATCCCAGGGTGACCTAAAAAACTTCTCTAAGATCAGTGTATTATCAGTCGATGACTATTCTTCATGTTCATCAGAACTTGATTCAGACTCAGATGGAATAGCTCGACAGATAAATCTTCAAGGTTGTGGAGTAACGTCTTCTTTGTCACTCTCCTCCTCACTCTGCCTATCGATATCACTATCACACAAAAAATCTGACAAATTGTCCGCACAAATTTCCTGGTCACTGTATCTCATTTTCTCAGTATTTAGATATAAAAAATAACTATAAAAACAATTATTGAAAGAGTTCGATAGCAAATTTGCTTCAAGATAATTATAAAAAAATACAAAATATCACTAAAAAACTCACAATTTTTGAAAATAATATAGGTTTGCAATGTGGGGAAAATACCATTCTTCCTAAGGAGACGTCTAAACACCAAATTCTACCCGAATTCACTAAAAACAAAATGACTCAAAATTCGTAAATTTGCAGGTATAATGTGTTGTGATGAGCTCATTTATTGCTATTATTTATGACCTTACCACCCCATACCTAATCTGTTGTGGGAATGTTTATACCTGCGTAGTACTATGTATAACTAAGCGGCATAGAAAACATACACACATGTAGTAACTCGTATTAGCTACGTTTCCCGTGTTCTACCAGCAGTCCATAAAAATTGTATTACTACGTAATTCGCCCTCTATGCACAGATGGCAAAAAACGGAATGTTACGTGTCCCTGCTCATTTATCGCTATTATTTATGACCTTAACTTTCCATACCTAATCTAATGTGGGAATGTTTATACCTGCATAATACTATATATAAATAAGTGTCATAACAAACATATACACATGTAGTAACTTGTATTAGCTACGTTTTCCGCGTTCTACCACCAGTCCACAAAAAACGTATTACTATGTGATCCACCCTCTATGCACAGTTGGCAAAAAACGTAATTTTATGTGTCTCGACTACAATGTATTAATATATATGCCGCCCAGATAGGAAAGTGGTTAGTAACTCTGATTGCCATACCGAAAGGTTCGGGTTCAAATCCTGGAGAAGGTATCCTGTAAATCGTCTGTCCTTTCATAGGTGGCAATGGTGGCCCACTTATTAGATGCCTCCATAATAAAGTGAACACCGCTTCCAGCCTTAGTAGTGGCCAGTTCCTATAACAGCTAGTACCTGCCAGTAGAGAGGGGGGATATTATCTAATAATGTCTCTTTTAGGTACAAGCTTATGTTCAGAATACAGGATCTCCATTAATTTCATGCAATGAGGGGTTTTCTATAATTATAAAATGATCCCATCCATTGCATAAAAACTTATGTACTTGATGATCTGCATTAGATTTTTTTAGAAGATGGCGTTTTTACAATATATTTACTTAGATCATGCACTATGTGTGCTCATTTTCAGATTTATACTTCAGACTAGATAGGTATTATGCTAACAGGACTTGTTTAAAACATTTTAAACAATTTCACTTCTCTGATTAAAAATTATTGATTTTTATTACCTGATTGAAATCAACAATACGAGTATTTGAAAAAAAAGTTCAAAGGCAAATTCTTTACCATTTAGTAACTACCAAATCATAAAATTCACCCCAATTCCCTTGCCAAAGTCTTCCACTAAAAATACTTCTGTATAAAAATATCTAGTCATGGAGTTGGAGTCATGTTTGGTGGAGTTCTTAGTATAAAGCTGCTATCTTTGGTGCATGTGCATACATTTTAGATGGAATACTACCAAAACTCTAGGTATTGTTATCTTGTTCAGTTTATTTGATCATGTAAAGCACATGAGGGCTATATGCTTGCTATTTTGTTTGATCAGTTTTCAGCTATAGGCAATTTAAATTAGAACTTCAAGCAAAATACACATTCAGCATTAATTGCAGAAGAAATAGTCAACAGAATGCGGTACAGGAAAACTATTTGATACCAAGAAAATTCGAAAAAGAAAATGAAAGCTTGAGTACTTTTAAATATGATGAAATCTAAGTTAATAATTAATGTACGATAAGGCATTTTTTCCCTCCTTCCAGCATGTTTTCATGGTGTAACGAGTATGCATTCGAGCATGCATCCCTGGTGTAGCACCACACTCAGTGTGTATTTGAGAAGTCCAGGTTCGATTTCCTGCTAGGGCACTGTTAATCTTTCATGTCTTCTGCTTCAAAATAACCTAAATGATTCTAGAACAAAATATTATTTGGATAAACTTAGTAAAATACTATTGGAAAGAGGGTCAGTTTAAACAACTATAAAGCACCGGACCACTAACTTAGTAACCTATCATCTATTGACATACAACAAAATTAAATACAAATACTAGCTCATTAATTATTGTATGAATTTTCATAAAAAGCTTTTCAGATGTCCAAAGTAGATTATGACTATGCAAATCAAAATAATTTAATAAGAAAAATTACACTGAAAATCAAACAGTTGAAAAATGAAGTTTTCAAAATTTAAATTAAATCAACATGTATAACTTATGGCTAAACTTTTTTTCCCAAAGTTATTTTCCTTAATAAAGACTGAAAACTGGAAGATGTGATGAAAGATGGGCAGTCAGTAGCTAAAGAGATTTCCTCTTTTCAATTTCAGTGTTGCATAGCTGCATGAAAATCAGAAAATAGAAATTCATTAATTCATCATCATCAAAAAAACAACAGCTGATCAACAATGATGATGGCATTTATTTGACATAAGAACTTTGTTAGGTAACAAATAGAGTACAAAGTCTGTAATCCGGATGTCCATAATCCGGACCTCAAAGCTACAAACTTTATGCGCGCGTTTAATGTATAATGGACGGTATAAGCTAGGCTAAAATTATCTAAGGCATTTCAGTTAATGTTGCAGATTGCGCTGTTCCTTAATCTTCTAATTGGATCTGGCTTATTATTTTTTGCAGACTGTTAGAACAGTTTTATAAAAATTAAGCTTGAACTTTTAATTATGTCAAAAACAGTTTCCAATTCTGAAGCTGCCAAAGGATCTACAAAGCGAAAGCATGTTTCGATGTCCATTAAACAAAAAGCGGAATTGCTGCAAAAATTGGATAAAGGCATATCCGTCTCAAAATTATGCAAGAAGTATGGCATTGGAAAGTCCACTATATATGACACAAGAAAAAGGAACTTTTTGAATTTTTTGTGGAAGCATCTTAAACAACTCACATTAAAAGAAATGTTTAATAAAGTAAATAAATAAATATTAAGCTTTTTTTTTTGTAAATTTTGATACTCTTTAGATCATAATTGTTCTTTATTTCATAAATTACGATTTCATATTTTTAATTGTATAATTTCTGCATGTCATCTTACCAGATTTAAATTGATAATCTATAATCCAGAAAAACCCCTAATCCGGAATCGTCGAAGTTGCGATGAGTCAGGATTACAGACTTTGTAATGTACTTCATACTCAATTAAGAAAACAAAGAGGGAACTTACATTTTTTTGGATACCATCAACTTCAGTCTGACTACTTTCGGCTAAATTTTCCAGTACAGAGACCCACATCTGCTTATCACTGAAGTTTAGAGCCATAATATACAAGCACCTAATTTTTTTTTTTTTTTTTTTAAATTTGAAAATAAAATAAAAAAATATTATATATGTAAATACTCAAATACTTTTTTACTGCATTGTTGTAATACTATGCATTCAGCTAGTTACTTTTTTATATCTTATATGTAATTATTGATTTTTTTTTTTTTTATATATATATATATATATATATGTGTATATGTGTTTATATATATATATATATATATATATATATATATAATATTTATATATATGTGTGTGTGACAACATTCAAATTATAAAAATAGCTTAAAAGTGAAACTCCAGATATGCTCTTCGCGGCCCTTAGTGACCGGTCCTTCCCAAAATTTCCAGGAAGTTCGTGCTGCATCAAGCCTGTGCCCATGTAATGCCAGAGATGTGGATCATTGAGACTGGTTGTCATAGATATTTATTATTCAGCTGCAAGAATTAGCGTTAGCTGAACTGCGAGTTTACTCTGCAAATGATTTTAGCGATCAATTATATTTCTTGTGCATTAAGAGAAGGAATCCTTTTATATATATATTCTGCTTAAGCTATTTGAAGATATTTATTCTGCTGTGTAAAGTAAATTTTTATAATAAATTATTAATTTCTCCCTACTTATCCAAAGTGAACATTCAGAAAGAGAACTGGTAGCTGACAACAATATTGTAGAAATAATTACTCAACTGACCTCACTATTAAGTCAGATATGCAAAGGATAATTTAAAATGCTAGTTAAATGATTTAATGCTATGCTTTAAAAAAAAAAATCAGGTTTACAGTTTGCCAATGAAAAAAAATAAAGGAGACTAGTTATAATCAATATGAAAGAAAATACTTATCTTTTATTAACATGTTCACTGCCAAAGCAGGTATGGTGCATCTGTTCACATGGAACAAGATCCTATCTGCATTTTTATTATTTATTTTCCTATCTGCACCTAAACATTATATGCATTTTCTATAGCAATACTCACACTAAGTGATTTAGATAAGGCAACCAATAGCAAGTTAGCATATAACTGGCAGTAAACTCAGTTTGCAATCTATGAGTATTCTCGTAGATAGCAGCAAACATGCTAACTCATCCACAACCAACTTCAAGACAAGATGATGAAAAGGTTTCATTAAATTGAGAAGAAAAAGAAGATTTAATTTGTTTTCTTTTTACTGATAGTTGAAGGCTTGATGAAAAGGTTTCATTAAAATGAGAAGAAAAAGAAGATTTAATTTGTTTTCTTTTTACTGATAGTTGAAGGCTTTAGTTGAAAAGAAGCAAAAGTTGCTGGACTTATAAAGATATTTCAATACATAGCAATGTCTTGTCCACTTCTCTGTGTTAGAACATTTCTCAGAATGGCTTTTTTCCTTCTCATAGCAAGAAATTCTACAAAACTATCAAAAATTGTACATTTTTTATTACAGAAATTGAAAGAAAATTTTTGGAATAATTAGATGTGAAAAATCATTCATTTATCAAAAATAAATACAGAGCTAAAAATTGCAATTATCTCTGTAATGCTGGCTTTTTGCATACACATAAGTACGAGAAATTATTTATTTTACATAAAATAAAATCGGCTTTTTGAACACATGCAGGTAGTAATAAAACATTTTGCTTTATAGTTCATAATTACTACACATCTCAAAACTTTAATAATACTTTAATATTTCATTTCTGTATAGTCTATAAAAGTTTATTAACTTGTAAGAAAACTTTACTAAGTGAAACATTAAGCATATGCAACAAAATGTATCTGTCAGAAAGCAGATGTTTCACAACAAATTCAATAGCAAAAGAAAATACCCTAAAGACTTGTTCTTAGAGTCTGCTAACATCTGAAACAGAAAATTAAACCAGAATAAATAATGTGGGATACTCAAAAACTAAAACTTTGGAAATACCCGTACATGATCTGCAAAAAAAGTTGCCTATGATGCACGGGTAAAACTGTTAAGCGGTTAAACCACATCGTAGTTTGGCTAAGCTGGAGCCATGCAAATTATCCTTTGTTAACTTAACAGAAGTTCATGCTTCTTTTGCTAATGCTGTATTTTACTTTATAGTGAAAACTCTTCAAAGCTCATCTTTAATATTTTAAAAATCCTTTCTAATATTAACCAAAAAGATATCTAAATGTTAAAATATTTTCATATTATCCTGCTATGCTTGCCTTTATGTGCAAACATGCCATTGCATTCAATGTTGATCTATATCAATGCTGAGTTACTCCATACATATCACCCAAAGTATTTATGAATACAGATTTTAACTACGACAAAGAGTGAATGTTGTTCACGTTCACTCTTTGAAATTTCTCAATTGCCAGTTTCAAGTGATGAAAATAGACTATGAAAGATAGAGGGCAAAAATAAACACGAAAAAGGAAACACAATGAGAACAAAATCCATATCAGGAACAGAAAAAAATAATTTTAAGCATTATATAATAAAAGTAACAGAAATTTTATTAATAGATGTTCAGAATCAGTGTCATGGATTAAATAAATGCTAAAGTTCTGATATTAGTGTCAAATGAAATTTATTGGTAACACTGCCACAATAAAAAATAATGCAAAACTGAGAAGACAATACAAAAGTCCACTAAGAATGAGGATAACTCCAATACAAAAGTTCCTGAAAAATACGAGTCATCCAAAAATTTGGACCACATTATAAATAGTTGTACTGTGCGTAAGTACTAATACAGTGATTTTGCACAGCAAAAAACTACTTTTACTTTCTGCATATATGATTACCAAAAATGCATAGCTTTTAAAAATAAATAAATAAACAAAAAGTTAAAATCAACTTTGCAAACATTAGCATTGCAAAATGGGGGGAGGGATAAAAGACCTGTTATAAGTAAGCTTACCCGGCACATTCGTTTGACCAGTACTGTCCCAGTTTCACGATGTGGACCCTGCATGGTGTGGTGCTGGTGGCCAGTTTGTGATTTTGTCCCAGTTGTTTGGTAAAATTTTAAAAGTGCTAATTATACAAGAAGTAAAAATACTGCAGCCTCAGGTAAAATGGCAATTCAGCAATAAGGAAAAAAAAACTCTGTTACATTCATTGTTGCCAGTCTATATATATTGTACGAGGGCATTTCGAAAAGTAAAGATACACCGTACGCCAGAGGAAAAGAAAAGTTTTGGTGAGTAAGTTGGCAACACAGGTGTTAACCTTGAACCATTAGCTTTCTCCTCGCGGTCATTCGGCATTTCAACATTGATTCTGGTTGGAGTAGGTTGCGTTTAAAATGGCTGTGCTGATTCAGAATGCCGCCAAATGCGAAGTGCGCTCCGTCATACGTTTTCTTCACACAAAAGGTCAGCGACCAGCGGATATTCACAAAGAAATTGTTTCTGTTTACGGGAACATTATGAATTGACAAAATGTAACGAGACGGTGTCGTCATTTCTCTGAAGGTAGGACCGATGTTCATGACAAACAAAGAACAGGTCCGCCATCTGTGATCTCTGATGCCCTTCTTCAGAGAACAGAGGAAGCAATTCGTGCGAATGGATGTCTCAAATTGAAAGAATTGCATCAGATCATACCGGAAATGTCAATGACAACTCTGTATGAAGTTGTGACTGTCAAGTTAGGGTACAGGAAATTGTGTGCGTGCCGGGTTCCAACAGGCGGCAACCTTTATGATTGTGGGATACAAAAGCTTGCGTACCGACTTAACAAATGTTTGGATAACGGGGGTGATTATGTCGAAAAATAATAAATAACCCAGTTAATAAGACGTAACTGACGTTTTCTAAATAAATGCTTTTTTTTTTAAGGAATGAGAACCATTGTATCTTTACTTTTCGAAATGCCCTCATATCTGGATCTAAGTACTTTTTATAATGTCTAGATCTGGGACCACTAAATTTGCAATTTCAAATTTCATGGACCACTAACATACATCATATAGCCTCTAAATGTCTTTTCCCAAAAGCAGCAATTGTAAAAGTTTTTTTGGTTAGCTAATTATAAAGTTTAAAAAATTAAAAATTGTGAAGAAAAATTTATACAAATTTTCAATCATTTAAAAGAAAAAATACTTCATTTCCCAGTCTTGAGTAACAGGAAGAATATTCTCAATAATGAATATTATATGGTCTGAAGAAAGAGGCAGGATGGCTGAATCGACTGTAAAAGCTTTACAAAGATATAATATTAACAGTGAATTTTTTATGCCATTAAAAATAAAAAAGAATTTTTAAAGAAAGTAGTAATAAATATTAATTTCTTAATAATAAGATATATTCAATTGAGCTGTTAAAAATTTCTTTTAGCTGTTTTTTTTTTTTTTTTTTTTTTTTTTACAATTTATTTGTATTGAAAAATACAATCATAGGTACTTTCCTAGTAGATTTTATTGTCTGTTGTATTTTCCCCAAACTGTCCCACTTTGGGTAAAAAATATTATGGTAAGCATAGTTACAAGTATTAAAGTATTCGTTTTAAATCTAAATTAGTTACCTTTCTGGCCAACAGGTGGTACGTGGAATATATTCAACCTTCAACACATATGGAAGATCAGAAGTTGCAGCATAAGTCAATTCCGTAGCAGACACAGCACTAGTCACTACAATTTTTTCTTCGTTGTTTCCAAAATCTAAAGTTGATAAAGCTCTGTTTAAATCTTTCTCTTCAGAATTTTCAAAAATATAGAGTACAGTCCCAATAAGCTTCAGATATCTTCGATCCCAACCTTGCTTATTACTTCTAAATAAAAATTAATAATATGAGTTTCTTTTATATAATTAGCTAAACAAGTCAGTTTTATACGTTGAAACAATAATAAAAAATGAATTAATTAAAAATAATAATTAAAAAAATCTGATGTGTACACCACATGACTTCCTTGTACGGGATATTAAATTATACGCATTTTTTTCTTGAATTTCATTTAAATTGATTGGATCGATTTAAATCTACTTCGTCGACAGCGCATAAACCACAATAGAATAAATGCACTCTTTAAAATTCACTATATTTGTTTACTATAACGACACTCTGAATGCACAAAATTTATATCATTTGAAAGAATTATCTTATCGTTGCCACATGTTCTATTCAAATACTATAATAAAGCTAGAACGATTTGAAAGAAATTAAGCAAACAAAACAGAAAAGAAACAGTTTTTCACAGACGATTTAGTATTTCTCAATTAATTAATTCAGTTCTCCTTTCGCGACAAAACAAAAATACATAAAAACTCAAAATATCTGTATTAAAAATTACGAAGTAAATCTTAAACACTTATTTCCTCGAAAAAATTCCAGAAAGGATTAAGCATGATTTAATTCGCAATAATAAATGAAGGCATTATTTTTGTTGTTGCGAAGCTTAGTCTCTCCAGATTGGCAACAAATCTATATATAATACAAATATGTCCGCCATGTTATTTAAAACTTAACCGCACTTAGACAGCTTTTAAATTGTTGATAATTGTACAAATATTGCTTCCAGAATTACGAAAGGCATAAAAACCTTAGACGGAAGATAAGAACAACATAATTCAATGATTTTTAAAGCAAAAAATGTACAATTTACAAACATATACGAGTAAAGGAACTGAGATCAACTGTGCTAAGTAACAAAGTGGAGATATATCTATATATATAAATAAATATAGTATTTATATACATTTGGTGATCGGGCCGATTGCAACCAAAAATACGAGGTGCACATCTACATGTTATAGCAGTGCTATATACAAAATTTCAACGTTCTGAGGCTACTCTTTTTTCGAGTTATGCGAGATATGTACGTACATACGTACGTATAAGACGCCACTTTGAAAAAATCTCTCTTCAGAATTAATTTTAAAGCAGTTTTATAATTTTTTGGGAAAAGGAAACGAGTCTTTTATTCTGTCCTTACGTACAGATATCACGCAAAAACATCGTTAAATTGCATTCGATAGCGGTCAAAATGGATATTTTTTTAAAAATATGCTGCCTGAAACTTTTCGCTATTACAATACTTCCTTTTTACTTCGTACAAGGAAGACTAACTCCCTTGGAGAAATCAAGTTTTTTTTCCTCCCCACCATTTTTAACCCCTTTGCAACAGCATGTTGCTGAACTGAAAACTCTCTGCAGATGGGTGTGCCATATATACATCAGTCCCAAATGCCACTAACAGCTGTGTGATGCACTAGTGCATGGCTGCTTGCATTGATCTTCCAAACGGGTGTGTCCAGGGTTCGTACACATTTCTGCAGATGGAAATTAAGGACTTTTAAGGACCATTAATGAAAAATATTATGGACCTTTCAGGAAATGGAGCTGAACAACTATACCACGAAGGCATCCCAAAAAGGTGGGAGAAATACCTTATATACCCCTCTTTTAAAGGGTTACTGGGGTTTTGGGGGGACCCAGTCACCAAATCCTGGGTGCGGAGAAGCATCATCCAATACCCTTTTAGTTTGGGCGCCACTGTGGAGACATTAGGTAATTTGGAAGCAAGCAAGATGAAAAATTAGCAACACCTTCGCCGGGAACCAAACCGTGGACCTATGGAATACGCATCCAGTGTGCAGACCACCACACCACGAAGGCATGCCGAGAAGGTGGGAGAACTGTCTTATAACATAAACATCACTATCTCATAAATATGGTCCGTATATGTTGATTTTTTCTTTTATGTCTAATTTTGCCATGTACTTAATCTATAGGTTTAGTAAATAGCAGGTAGATGTTATGTCAAATGGCATAGATTAGAATGAGAAATAAAATCATAATCAGCATGATTCATAACAGAAGATTGCCGAAATTGAAGGCTGTTGCCAGTATTGCTGCTTGCCTAGAGAGAGATCTGTGGATCAGAACAAACCTGAAAGTCTGATGCATAGACTCCAACCTTCAGCAAACCTTGTCAGTAGTCAACGCGCGAACGACATTTTTACAACTTTGAAAATGTGCGCGTAGCGTATGTTGTAATTAACCATTCATTAATTTTAAATTAATAATTAATTGTAATCAATTTTATTACATTTAAAATCCATATACATATAAAACTGAATAATTAAAAATATACCTTGTAAATTATATGCACATTTAATTAGAAATTTTCTTTTAACTCCTCAAGCATTCACTAATAAAAAGCACTTCAAATCACTACTAATCATAGAAAAAATCAGAAGCTATAAATCATATCTTTATTCTGGATATGATTTCTACAGGGAAATAAAATTTAAATAACCAAGAATGATACATATAAGTATTAAACAAAATACATATAATTTATGAATGCAAAGATTTATATGTAGCATGCTTAGCAAGCTTAAGTTCTGATTTTGAAGATTTTTTTTTATAACACAGTTCTTCATTTGCCTGCATATTTATTTTTTCAATCAAAACTGCTTCAAGAGTTTTAAGACCTAAATTTGGTCGAAATTCCGTCTGATTTTTTTTAACAATAGAAAAAATTCTTTCGCAAGCTGCATTTGAATGAGGTATTATTAAGACAGCAAGCATTACAGAAGGCAATACTTTGTATTTAATACACCCATTCATATTTTTTAATTTGGCAATTTCTCCCCATGCTATATCAATACGCAAATCTACAATTTCTTTCAAATCATCTACTTGATACATGGAAAATTCAATTTCTACTTGATTAAGACATTTTTCATCAATAATGGATGGAAAAGTATTCATCAAGTAAAGAACAGATGAAAATGAGACTTCAGTTGTCAAGTTGATGTCAGCAACTTCAGCATGTTTTAGAAATGGATCACTCAGTGGAAATTTATCAATTATATATGAACATGCAGTTACAAAAAATGCTCGCACAGAATTGAAAAATGATTTCACTTCACTTTCATTCAACTTGGCATTTTTTAAATATAGTCTTGTTTCCGCACCAATCACTAAATTTTCATTTTCTTTTTGTTTACTATACTTCTGAAATGGAATAGACGTTAGAGTAACATCTTCATTTTCTTTAGAAATTACTGATGGTTTTACGAATCTAACAAATAAATTCATTAAAAGTTCAAAAAGTTCTCTTCTCAATTATGTATATAAGGAGCTTGTTGTTGCAAATTAATATTTACTGTTATAAACAAAGAGGCAAAGTATTTTTCAAAAATAACAAGTACAATGGTTTGGTGGTCGGTGACTGTAAAAATTTTTTTAATGTTTTGCAATCTCTTTCCTTCATTCTCACTGTTATCTGGTTGATCCCTCCAAAAAATTTATCACAGCATCCCACTGTTCCAAAATCCTTGTTATAGATTCTAAAAGAGACAACCATCTCGTACTGCAATATTTCAAAATTTTATGAGATTTTGCATTCTGTCCCAAAATTTGTTGAGCAACTTTGAAGCTATGCTTCCGTTTCGAACTTTTCTCCAGAGTAAAAATATATATCTATTAACAACATTTCAATTTCTGAGCCAATTAATTTTTCAGTAGCTTTTTTTGCAGCTATATGCAAGAGGTGGCACGGACAACCTCGGGTGATTATACTTGGTTGATGCATTTTGATAAATGATGCTACACCTTTAAACTTTCCTTCCAATCATATTACTAGCATTATCTGAAGAAAATGATAAGCAATTTTTCCATTCTAAACCTTTGTTTTTAAAGTTTTCATTTATACAATTAAAATACCTCCTCCTGTATTATTCGTGCATTCTAAAATAGAAATCAATGAAGTAATTATCACTCCCTTTTCTTTACTGTAGTATGTTATAACCAATGGGTACAGTTTGTTATCATTGTTATCATTACTTCCATCAGTACTTAGAGAAAATGATGTACTGCACACTGATTTTATAATATCAGCAACAGTATTTTCTGCAAGCGTTTTCATAATAGCAGCAGTTTTGGTATGACCGCAGCTAAATTTTTTTGCTATGGCAGAATCCAGAAACATTGCTTTGAAAAGCTCTTTGGAATGATTTGAAACAGAAAGCGGTAGATTATGTTCAATTAAAAAACGAACAAAATAGCATTCAGCTTTTATAGGATCTGTTTCATCATCTTTATTAAGAAATTTGTTATTTCTTTAGATTTTACGGTGCCAAGTTCTATATGCTTTTGAGAAAACACATGCCGTTTACAGTCATCTTTTCCGCCATGAGCAACTGAGAAGTCTTTGTTGCATACACTGCAGTGTGCGTGATTCACAGAAATTTCGGACGCATTAATACATGGAAATTCTGAAGAATATGAATCTTTAAACTTCTGCTTTGATAATTTTGGCTTCTTCGTTCGAGGCAGCATTATGATTAAAAATCTTTCACCTGATTCACAGTTCACAAGACACACGCTAAGCTCTCGCCGTAAACTACACAATGCAGCCGAATGCAGCCTAAACACTCATCAGCGAGGAACCTGGGAGACAGACAATTGGGTGGAACTATTGATAAGTCGTTAACGGTTGGAGTTACTGATCTACGATTGGCTAATTCTTCAAAACTAGGAACGCACTCAACACGTGATATATGATAACACGAGTATTCAGCCAATCATCGGATGAATTAGTTGGTTCCGTTTTGCGTACTGGTTCTCCTGCTCTTGTTTCTGTAAAATCCGTAGTTTTTTCCATACTTTTCGTAGCTCGTAGTTTTTCATGAATTTCCGTAGAAACTACGGAGAATCCGTAGTAGTTGGAGTCTATGCTGATGTAGTTTTGAAAGTTAGTTGTGCTCCATCTGTTTGATGCAGTTAGTGCTATAGCAGTGCAGTTAGTGTTAGTTCCTGAG